TGTTTAAGTTTCAGTGATTTAGGTGCATACCCAGAAATTCAATGAAAAAGGTACAAGAACAAGTTAGTAAAATCACTTCACATGTAAATTATAGTTTTACTTCTTAAACTTTGTTGCACTGCAAAACTATTCCATATTCATAATCTGTATGATTATTATGGATTATTAATATGAGTTTGTATTTTGGATCCTGACAGCTTCATTCTTTGACTTATCATTTTGTCACTTTTAATGGACTTATAGCTGAGTTTGCACTGAAATAAGATTACCATGCATGTAGACAGTTTAAAAGGCAATAATATTAATCATATATTTTAGCTCATCATATATTTTGTATGTCAAATCATAGTCTACAAAGTAATTATGGCTGCAAGAGAAATGTTGTGGAGTAAAACAAATTATACGGTACAACAGTAAATGTACTTTACTCTCTGCCACTGGAGGTAAGTATTATTATAATCTACACTAAAAGTTAACATATTTATTGATCTCAAGATCCTCTACTTTATTGATTCCTGTGACACCAAACTAAAGTCATCAGTATTCCTCCAGCTAGAAAGCAGGACTATCAATCAATTGATCAAGTTGTATTTGACCAATCTTGCTATGGATCACATGGTGTTGACCTTTAACATGCAGGCCCCCTGATAGATCCTGACCAGGCTTTACACGGCGCTATCATCATCATCTGAAACTTGCACACTCGAGAGAAATGTCCAGCCCAAAACAGAGAAGAAAAGCTGGAAAAGAAAGAGTAGTACAGGAGAGAGAGGGAAGGAGAAAGAGGATGCAGGGACATAATCTTATAATGTCCTTCTGGGCTATATTTAGTTCTGAATCACATATGGCTACTGGACTGAGGGCTAGAATGCAAAATACAGAAAAAAACAATAGCAATAACGTCAAGTTAGGAGGAGGAGAGATGAAGAAGTAGATGTAAACAGACACTATGGGGGGAAGAGAGAGAGAAAGCAATGAAACAATAAAAATGCAAATGAAAGGCATAAAAAACACAACAAATAGAGATAATTGGTGGAGGAGAAGGGGGACAAGCTGTTAAGTCTGCAAAGAGGAGGTGGGTTGTAAAACTTGAAGTCCAATACGATCTCTTGGTTATTTTCTATCAAACTGAAAAGGTTTGGCAGGGACTGGGATCAATAGATTTCCACAGACTCTTGACAGCTCTGGTTCACACGTCATGGAAGCAGGAAGAAGGTGAGATAAAGAAAACAACATGAAGGCAAGAAAAACAAAGAGGGGATGTGGTGGAAATAAAAGAAAGTCAAACGGTTGAGCAGAGAAAAAGAAGGAGATGGGGGGGGGATTGTTTTCTGAGGCGCCACCACTGTTTTGGCTATTAAGCATGAAGGAGATTACTGTGTGGGGGAATTTGCATAAACATGCTTCTCTATTACCGCCCCCATTGTTCATGATTAATGAGATTAGGGTTGCCTTTGCGCACAGATTCAAGGATGTAATAGCAGATAATTGCTTGTCTCTTCCCAAATTAGAAGTTGCGTTGTTTGATGTTTGTTTCAACGTGGATTTGCTAAAAGTGATGAAGCTCTCGTTTCTCTGCCTGGTGGCGTACCCGATGGGACTGTGGATGATAAAGATGTAGAGAAAATTGAAAGCGAACTCAAGAGGAGAAGAGAAGAGGCGCTGGAAGAGAGATAGAGTTTCGTGAGGCACAGCAGCAATAAAGCACTTCAAATTGAACTGAAAAAGGGGCAAACTGGCAAAGAAAAAGCTAAAAGAGAAGAGAAAAATGGCAGTAATATAAAATACTTGGTTGAGAAAATGGTAAAGGAAGAAAATGAGGATTGTATGAAAGAGACTGAGTTGAAATAGAGAGGTGTGTAAAGAAGCAATATAAACACAGACAAAAACAGAGAAAAAAGGACTGGAATTGGCTTGAAGTATGAAGGTGAATGCGAAAGAAGGAGTGGAGTGAAGGGAAAAGAGAGGTCGGTGAGGGAAAAAGAGTGAGGGGGGTGGAGATAGACAAAAAGAGAGAAGATTGCTTTGAAAGCTGTAGATCTGTCAGAATTGAATCACAGGCGGCCAGCTGTAAGCTCTGATAGTGCTTTGCCTCTAAATATAACAGAAACTGAGATGGACTGATACAGCCACAACAACAGACACTGAGATGGTGAGAATAAAGGAGGCGTCACAACACTGAGGAGAGAAAGATGGGATACAAAATGCCAAATCTGTACACATAAATAAAGCATGGGTGCTCAGCAGTAATTTTCGTGTGATGACATTTTTAGCACATATGAATATGTTTACATAATACAACAATATCCATGCTCCAGCTTCTACCACACACACACACACACACACACACACACACACACACACACACACACACACACACTCAGCAAGGATAGTATCACAACCACAACACTCCTGTATGACAACACAGCAACCTTCCAGCATCAAGACCCATCTGCCCAGACACAGCAGCAGGAGAAACCCACTTTTAGAGCTCATCTCCGGGTGTGAGCAGCAAGCTGCTGCCCTGGAGGTCTGGAAGTCGACTCCAGACCACCACCCCACTTGAGCCCCAGGACGCTCAGGATGTCAGTGGCAGTGATGGAGTGACAATGTCCCTTCTGGGTGAAATTAAAACCTCAACACATCATCCCTTCTCTCCTCTTTCTCATCTGCCGCTCCTTTTCCAGCAAAGAAAAAACCCTCGAGACACCCTGCTGATGACAACTGTCTGTCAGCACACACACACACACACACACACACACACACACACACACACACACACACACACACACACACACACACACACTCCTACAAGATGGGAGAAATCCCCTGCAGTGCTGATACATTCTCAGACACATATGCAGAACACACACACACACACACACACACACACACACACACACATAAAGAAAGCAGAAGTGTCTTTAAACGTCACAACAGAATATTCTTGCAGGAAACTTGAGCCCAGCTGTCTTTGTTACTGACACGCCATTGACAAGTCATGCATACACACTTCCTTTTATCTACAGCTCCTGGTTTCCTTCATCACTCTCTAACTCCTATGATGGCCTACATGTGAAGAGTCAGAGCTGAGCTTGGCATCATTAACATCTAGCAAGTAACTAATTAACACAGAGGTCATTAGCCCATGTAAACAAGACATTATGCACACACTACTTTACTGAGTGTGCATCATATATGTTGGAGTGTGTGTTAATAATGGAGGTGAGTCTCCCTGGAGAGTGTAATGAGAGTCCTGTGGGTCCAGCTGAGCTTCTTTACACTTATCAGTTGCTTCAAGCAACTGCACTGCAGCTTTTATTAAGGCTTCTTTAGTTGGTGCAGTGCAGGACAACAGTAGACCACCGGTTCATCTTAAAGTCTACTTGAAATTCAACATACAGTGCAGCAAAAATGCGCCCGATTCTTTTAAATAAAGGAAGTGATGTCATTTTTGATCCATGCAAACTATTACACAGTATCAATAAGGTTGCTGCAAAGTTCTGAACTTCAGTATTCTTTACTGAGAAATCTTGGACTATTGTACGGCAGATATAAAACATTTTATGATTAATATCCAGTATAATCAATTTAATAAAATCCTGGAGTAGATACACTAGGGCTTATATCTCTGACCTTTGCTTTACTCATTTGTGGTTCATATGGAGTTATGAGATGTTTTATATTTTCTCTTTGTGTGCTGTTCCTACATACATGCAATAGTCCATAACTAGTATAAGTCCTGCATTGTAAATGTCACTTAATTAAAAGTATTTAAGTATTATTAGCAAAAATTACTTTTACTTGAGAGCAAAATTTCTCAGGATGCAGAAAAGGGGCTCCTGTGTGTTATATGTTATATTATTGGATTATTATTAGTGACATTACATTAATTAACATACATAGCATGTTAGTGTTGTAGTTGGGCAATGTGGAAGTAATTTTAGTATTTTATATACAGTTCAGTAATTGTATGTATAAAAGTGCAATATATTTTCTATCTAAAGTCTTAATCTGTAAAGTAAAACTTTTTTTACTGGAGTAAAAAGTGCAAAATTTTCAACTGAATTCTAGCAATTGTAGTAATATAACATGGAAATATTATGTAAATTACAAATACTTAAACGCAGCCTACTTAGTTACTTTCCACCACTGCATATTATCAAATGGAGTGGTAACAGAGACAGGAAAAGAGGAAAATGAGCAGAAGAAAAGCTGAAAAGATGTTTTTATGTTCTCCGACAGTTGAGATGTACTTCCCCCACCACACAAACACACACACACTTTCTCCTCCACCTGGTACTCTTTCTGCTAAGCGTAAGCGATGACGTTCTCGGAGGACCTCCCAAAGCTGCTGAGCACTGCAGGTGATTATTAAGCAACTTCTTTTTAAAGCTGCTGATGCTTCTTCTTCTTCCACTTCATTTTTGGTCTTGTGCCTGGTTTGTATTGAATGGGAGAGCAGGCACTAAAATGTTTTAGGCTACTTGAGCTTTGTGTGCACGTCAGCATCATCCAGTCCACTAAGATACAGTCACACACACACACTCACACACTCACACTCACACTCACACATTGACAGAGACAGACAGACAGTACTACCCACAGAGTAATCCATGAATGGCTGCCATCTAGTGTTCATGATAAGGAAGTTGAATAAACGGGTATGGTTGAATAGAAAGGAGTAAAGCTAAGAAGAGTTTCAAAATTCATTATCTACACAGCAAGTTTAATCAGTCAAATGTATTTTCACTGTCCTATATATATATAATATATATAATGCATTTTTTCAGATAATCTAAATGCTTTTTTTGGCTGAAGTCGAAAGTAAAAAAGTAAAGATGAAAAAAATCATCAAAATGTGGAGATACATGTTTTTTTCCTCTGGTTAGAAATGCATTATCAATGTTGCTGAAACTCAATTTCAACCATAATTTGTAAACCAAAAGTGTTTTTTTAACCTCAGCTCACATACACACACACATACACTGCAATGACAGTTAATATTGTATAAACATTTATTCTCTGTACAGTCTTAAGGAATCAATGGGAAATCAATATTTTCAATTACTAATAGAAAAATACCTTTGCTGCACCATGATCACTCCACATCCGTACATACAGAAAGTAGCAAAAGAACATCATAGTGTGTGTTGTGAACATTGTATAAAACAAAAAAAACAATATGAGCGTGCAAACTTAACATCTATTAGGTATGAAAAACAAAGTGTCACTCATACAAAAAGAAGTAAAATATGTGATACATTGGCATATTTTCATAATATTCTCTACAAAAAAATATCAGTAATAATTTATTTTTTTAATTTTATCTTCTAGATATCAATAATGACTGTGTGCAAATTTCAGAACTTAAAATAACACCTGGCTTCTGTGTTTAAATAACCCCGTAGACCTGTGAGGAGCAAGAAACAGATAAGTCTTTGGAGTGAATCATCTTTTTTTCATATTTGGCTTCATGTGTAAAAATCAAGTAAGATAACCACAGGGTACAATGTTGCGTCGGCACATTATACAGTGTGTGTTGCTTTGAAAAAAAAAAAAAAAAGGCTTTTCATACAGTGAATGTCCCATTAGTCAGCTGTTAATGTCAGAGTCCAGAGAGGCAGATGAAGCCATATGACATGTGATCTCTCAGTGTTAAACACAGTGTTAAAATATGCACCAGATGCAAACGTCCCTCCAACCGTGACACTGTGATTGATCTTGGCTTCATCTAGTTCATAGAGAAGTAACACTTTTTTTAAAAATCAGTTTGTCAGGATTTGTTTGATTGGCAGCCACACTGGCCTTTCACCTGGCAGACACTCACAACGTCATATCCATTCGAGAGGTGAATCCAGTGTTCAGGACTCTGAAACAGGAAGTTCTTCGGATCGAGCTAATCTTCACCTGCTTTTACGTGCAGATTAACTCTCAGGAATCTTATGGGGTTGTGTTTGACATCTTCAGTTAATCGTTTTGAGGTTTATTGGCCGGCCACAGGTCACTACGTGTTCATAGGCATAGGTGTTCATAGTGACAACATGAGATGAGTTTTTCTGATTGGTTGACCTGAGCCTGACGGTATCCCAGCAGTGTGACGTATCGTCCTCGCTGTCCGCTGAGGTGGAGGTTAGCACGGTCCCTCAGAGGGCTGCGGCTATAGATGGCTGTGCACTGAAGGGCGGACACACACATACACAGGACAGACAGGACACACAGGACAGAGAAGAGGAAAATAGGAAAATAGATTGTCACAAATGTTGGTTTGAAAAAGTATCTTTTAGCTCTTTTTAAATATATATTAGATAATATTCAATATCACTTTAATGTCATATTTTAACTTAAATTTGTAATCACAAGACAAACCGTTTCACATACATAATAAAACAAAATGTATGCGACAAAACAAAAATATTCAGCCATACTTTTTGCGTACAACTTACCATTCAAACCACTGGCTGAGAATGTTTTCATCAAGAGGTTGCTGTAATCCTAAAGAGCCACTGACAAAATAATGAAACACTTATAAATTTGAATTAAACATTTAGGAAACTGCAGCGTCTAAAATTACTATACTTACTTGTATGCCCCTATTACGGTTGCTGTAGTCAGGACACTGTGAGTCAGTGGTGTTCTGTTCTCACTGAAGTCCTGTACATAGTGTGGGCACTGTTGGAACTGAGACCATTAGAGCCCAGTGTTTGGACACTGATGTGGACTGGGCCACTCAGGTCGACATTCTCCAGAATACACTGTAGAAAAAAAGCAAAATATGCAGTAAATGCTTTGCTGTTATTGAGTTTAACAGGATACAAGCTGTTAAGTGTCAAGGTAGAGATTGATACCTTGGTGCACGCTGAGCTCATGACAGATTTGTGGAAGTCCCCATCTACAAACACCTGAGAGAGGACAAGAAATAATTACAAGAAGTAAGTACAAGAAGCTTTTAGAGAAAATACTAGAGAAATAACTCTTCCACAATCAAGTCAATGTGTCAGTCTGCCTGCTACTGTTTGTTCTGCCTACCCTGTATCCGTACACAAATGTGCCGTTACTACAGCCCAGCTCGTCGAGCGGCGGCCTCTCCCAGCCGATCATGAGGCTGCTCTGGCCCACTGTTTTGACGACCTCAACGGCACGAACCTCTGCTGGAGCTCCTGGAGGTGGTGGGACAAAGAAAAATCAAGCACAGCACTAATTCATTTATTTACCTTTTCTGTTAACCTTTTAACTTTAAAATTCTACCACAATAAATGAACATAACAGGACTCACTGCATACTGAACTTACTAATGAATCCAATCAATTTAGTAAAGGTTTACTGTCACTGTGCAGCAGTTCGTTACTGTATATGGGCAATAAGAAGGGCAACAAGAAGGGCAACAAGAAGGGCAACAAGTGACAGAAACAGAGAATGGCCCTTATCTAGGCTGGGTATAATGTTATTTCAGCAGTATAGAACCAAAAAGTAATATTCTACAATCATTAACTGCAACATTATGATCTGAAGTTATAACACCTACTTGTACAAAGTTTCAGCAAATGCTTCTTTTTTTTTGTCAATTCAATAATGGCATTTCAACTCTTTAGAAAAAAACAAGAATTTCTTCCACTCGGACTTTAAGCAATGGTGTGTTTTGCCTTTGTGTGAATGATCTCAAATATTGAATATATGCATTACCTGGTTTGGGTCTTGCTGTCTTTTCAAGAGCAGTGGTGGACTTTCTGGCAGACTTGTTGGATCTTTCAGGAGAGCAATGAGCAGATGGAGTGCAGGAGGCAGCAAATACAGGCCCGTGATACGCAGGGGCAGCACCATCGGTTTTAGAAGGCATGTTAAAATGATTAGCCTCGGGGGCAGTTGTTATGCTAGGGGCAGTTGTGTCTGAGGCAGTGATTTTTGGATTCGTGTCAGAACATATTAAGACATCAGAGACAAAGGTAGTGGTCCTCAGAGTTAAAGGAGTGGGAGCTGTATGTTTGGCATCAGATATGTCAGGAATAGCAGTGATGATTTTATTTGTTAGTTTTGGGGATATTGCTATATTAGTGCCATAGCTGGAGGTGTATTTGGCTTTGCTTGAGCTAGAAAGAGCAGAATTTATAGTTTTAGACATGTCTGCTTTACAGTGATGGTTAGTAAACATGGGACTGAATGTAATATTAGCAGATCTAGAGGCGACTGCATTAAAAAGTGTTGCTGACTTATTAGTGGAAACAGGTATGGTTGTCACAGCTGGAACGTGCTTAGCTGGGCTCGAAGCAGTGGTGGCTGGGAGAGAGTCTGTAAGTGGTATATTCAAACTGAGGCTCTGCTTCTTTGTCTGAGAGGCTGGTCCCAGGTCTGCAGGAGCTGAAAAAGATTTCCTGGGTTGCTGTCTTCTTCCTCTGCTCACTGGAGCCTTGAAATGAAGAAAAACTAGAATAATATTTGTTTTTTACATGTTTTCAACACTGACCAGCATTTGTGTAATGCCAAATGTTCAAAAAGCTTCTGTGTACCTGATAGCTGCTCATTAGAGTCTTCTGCAGTTGCTCGTGTAGGCTGATGATCTTCTCAGGACTACTCAGTCTCCTGCTCACACCGACACGTGTGCTGGAGGATGGAAGAGTAAGACTCAGATCTGGGGAAGACTTCCCTTTCATGTCTGGATGATGAAATTCAAAATTCTCAGGTCTAGTGGCAGAGTGAGAGAGCTGTGGTGGGATTGAGAAAAAGCAGATCGTAGGGTTTCTCTCATTTTAATTAACAAAAAAAAGGTCCAGTGTGTGGGATTTAGTGGAATCTAGTGGTGTAGTTGCAGATTTAAAAAACCCATGCTTCACCCTCTCTACAGTGGCCGCCAAACGTGCAAATGGCCCTAATCTAGAGCCAGTTTTTGGGCTACTTATATTCCATTTCTGCTAATATATCCCCCAAAATGTTACAAACTGGACCTTTAAAATGATATAAAAATAATAGTAATAGAATAATAAAATAATTATTAATAAAATAATAATAATATATACTTAAACAAAAATTAGTTTGCATTATCTCACCTGTGCTGTATTGGTGATCAAGCCTTCTTTCAGTGCTGAAACCACACATGATGGTGCCGCTTGGACACTGGCACACACTTGCACTGGTGAGGGTGGCACAGGTGAGTTGGCATTTTTATTTAGTGTTTCTGCTGGTGAAGGTGTGACTTCACTGCTGCAGTCTTGACAACTTTTTGTGGAGTCCATGGTGACTAAAGATGTATGTTTTTCTCTTTTTAGCTCTCTACATTTCACTCCAGATTCAGATGCAAATCCATTTTGGCATTGCTGATTTACAAGTGAAGGTAAAGTAGAGCAGGTCCAATCAGGAGTGAGTCCACTAGAATAGTTTTGAAATGTTGAAATAAATCCTGGTGTGAAGCCAGTACTGTAATCCCGGGTCTTTACGTTGCTCCCTGGTGTGAATGCTGCAGTGTACTCCTGCAGAGCAGTGTCACTGAGCAGCTGCTCAACCTGCTGTGTGAGTGTGGAGTCCGCATTGCCTTGTCTGTGCATGGCCTTCATCATCTGAACCAACAAGTTGTTCCTCTCCTGACACTTGAACACCAGGCAAGACAGCTTGGCCTGTTATTCAACGAAACACTTGTCAGTCAAAGTCAACTGTTACTGACACATGACAATAGTTAGCTGACACTCCTACAGGGTAAGGAACAAATAATGGAAGAATTTAAAGCTATATCTGTCTTTCCTCACCTTTAAAGGAGCTATATCCAGATCGTTCTGGCTCCTCTTTTTCAGGAGTGCATCATACTATAGTACAAAAAATAAATTAAACACATGAAAATTACTTATCAGCTCATAACAACAACAGCTAACTGCTTTGGGCGAGATTAGATCTTCATGTGGGCCCTTATGCTGCGGCAACATGAAGTGCTGAAGAGTTGCGCCCTTTCCAACAATGATATAATGTGATGTTCTTTATGACATGTATAATTTGAGGTATTGTTTAGTTTACATGATCCGAGATGTAGTTTGTATTTTAATGTGACATACACTTTATTGGCTTGGTATGTATGTATGTTTTATAAGTAAAATCAAGTCACTTATTTGACTATCATGAACATCAAAGCCACAGCTGACTGGTTACCCACCTTAGCTCTGATGTTGTTGTAACGTGTCCTGAGTGAGACAAGAACAGTGCTCAGATCATCCTTGCTTCCCTGCCCTTGTTTCAGAGCGATATACTCCGAGTTTAGCTCCTCTAGAGCCACCGTCTGTGAAGTTTTACACACACACACACACACACACACACACACACACACACACACACACACACACACACAGAGGAACAGATCTATGGTGATTTTATAACAAATTTTTATGTATTTCCACTACAGCTGAATTTTACGCATTTAAAACATATCAAAAGTCGAACAACTGAAGAACATTGATATGCATTGATATAAGACCTTTAGTCACAAACATGAAGTAATGTATGTCATATTACAATCTGTTCTGTCTGCAATAAAGTAGATGTGTATGTTTGAACTATGGACATAAAACATCTGCATATTCAAAAAAAAGTGTTGGTTGGTTAATTTTGAAAATGAAATTGAGGTTTCCAGATACTTTCTTTTGCATTCATGTTTTAAGTCAACTTTATAACAGGGCCATATCCAGGAGTTCAGAACTAATTTATGGTACATAACAAATAAAAAAGAAAGATATTTTGCCATTCATACCTTAGCTTTGAGCTGAGCTGTAAGGATGTTGTATTGCTCCTCTATTTGTGCCTTTAGTGACAGAGCATCAGTCTTCTCCCTGACCAAGTCTCTAAATTTTCTCTGGAGCTCCTTCACCTGCAGAGGACACAAACACTGGTGAGGTCTAGCAGATAAAGAAGAGTTAGACATATAAACAGATAAACAGTGTTTTTATTTAGGTTCGTACCTGGAAGGAAAGTTAGTGACAGGCTTTGCCAAAAACACATACACATATTTATGGTTTTATAAAGGTCTCTCTCAGGAAGGCCAATTAGGGCAGGACGGTACATTGAGTTGTTAATAAGCAGACCAAAGGGCATGGGTGGAGCAGATTGTGGCACCATGTTGGTATTTTTGTAGTGTATATTTGTGTAAATACCTGGGTTATGAGGCTGTCATTTTCCTGTCTGGTTTCTTCCATCTGATTAGCTACAAATGTCAGCCTCGTCACCTTGTCAGCTGCTTGGGCTGCCTTTCTCTCTGCCTCCTCCCTCCTGGTTTCTGACTGACACAATTCACTGTGCAACCTCTCGGTCTGAACATGCCACAAACATGAACATGAATACATTAAGTTAGTGAAATCTCTAATGATACACCATTGACCTGTAAATACAAAATGAAGAGAGCCAAAGATTAAACAGAAGTTCTGTCATATTTCTTTTTCAGATTAAGATTAACAAACTTTATGCACTGGAAATTACAATAAAAACTGCATTCATTGTGTTGTTATCAATATCAATAATAGCTACGACAGTAATTCGGTTAAAATGACATGTTTTATTATGAAGTAGTCAAAGGAACTGCAGTGTGTTTGTCAGTGAGCTTGACACCAGCCGCTATTGTTCAGCAAAATGCATCTACAGAACAAGACAATGGTAATTTTCTGGATTTTTTGACAGCTGATCAGTTTAAAGGGAGTAATGGAACAAGAAGGAGCAGCCACAGTGAGCTTGCAGGCCACACGATATACGCCTCCACCTTCTCTGCAAGGTAACCAACTCACAGTAGCTCACAGATGAGTGACTTTTTAATTAAAACAATAGTTTTGTTTTGCCCCCAGAATTGGTGTTTGTATTAAACAGAATTTGTTGTTACCACCAGTAACTAGTTCTTGTCAAATCAACAAGGACTTAAATCTTAAGAATTGCCACTTTAAGCACAGAAATGTTTTCTTGACCTTGGAGGTAATAGTGCGACAAAACAATCCCAACTCAACTTCTATTGAGTTTTCTGTCAACCTAAAGCTAGTAAATGGACCTTGAGTTGGGACTGTTTTTGTCCAACTACTATTATTTAGTTTAATCAACAGAGCATCTGGTTAATCTTACATTCTACTACAACAAATGTCCACAAATGATAATGAAAAAAAGAGGAAGTGTAAACTCACATCTACATGGCTCTTGTCCAGTTCACCTTTTGACCTCTTTAGTTCTGCTCCCAAGGCTTCATTCTCCCTCATCAGATCATTTTGCTCCTGTTCTCCATTAAAACCATGAGTTTAAGTACACAGTAATCTAACATAATGTCATACAATAAGCCATAATACTTATATATGATATCTATCTCCTCATACCTGTACAGAGTTTTCTCTGTGGTCACTAGTCTGAAATCTTTGTGTAGCATATCCTCCCGTCCCAATAGTGGCACTGTTCAGATTCAGCATAGGCAGTTTCTGATTCCTCCCCTCTGTTTGTGTTAGGCCGGACAGAGCAGCTTTGTGGCCGTTTTCTTCCTCTCTTAGGCCCTGGAGTAATAGATGCATCTGCTCTTCTTCCTGTTTCAAACAACTGATTGAAAGTTCAATTCTTTCTTTTTCTTCTTTCAAACTGCTAACTGATTTTATCAACTTGTCGCGGTCTTCTTGTGAAGTGTAAGATGATTGTTCCTTGTCTCTCTGTTGCTTCAGACACTTCAGGGAATTGGTTAGTTTGTCTCTCTCCTGTTTCAAACTGAGCACTGTCTGGCTTAACTGGTCATTCTCTGTCTGTAAACTTTCTAGTGACTGCATGATTTGAGCTCCCTCTTCTTTTCCACTTGAGAGAGATTCTGCCAGTTTCTCATTTTCTCGTTTGAGACCAGATACAGACTTAGTTAGCTGCTCTTTCTCCTCTTTTAGGCCACTCATAGACCTTATAAACTGGTCTCTCTCATCTTTTAGCCCACAGACTGTCCTGGTAAGCTGCTCTTTCTCTTGTTTGAGACCAGCCAGAGATTGAGAGATGCTGTCTTTCTCCTCCTTCAGTCCCCAAACTGTCCGAGTTAACTGCTGCTTCACTTCTGTCTGTGTTTGAACTGACAGAGTTACTTCTCTCTGCTGCTCTCTGAGAGAATTTATGCAGCCTGACAGTTCCTCTTGTTCTGTTTTGAGGCTCTGGACTGACTTGGTCAGCTGGCCCACTTGATCAGTCAGTGACATAACATTGCTTTGTAGGCTATCCTGCAACAAACCATAGTGATTATCATGTTGAGAACCAGGTGCTGAAGCTGTAGTCGAATCGTCTGGTTGTTGACTGGACATCAACGGTGGTTCTTCACCTTTTAGCACACTTTCCACTAAACTGTCCACACATTCTTCCAGGTTGTTCTGTTGAAAATGTCCTGATATTACAGCTGTGTATTCTCTTTGCAACTGAGATCCACACGGTTCCTCGTCAACCGATGATTCCACAATAAGCTGCTCACTCTCCACTAACCTTTGCTGCTGCAGATCCATTATGGTGTTGAGATCATCCTCAGTCTTCTTAGTGAGTTCTGTAATCAAACACCCTTGTTCCTGCTTCTCCTGCTCCAGTCTGACTTTGTCCACCTCTAGCTTGGAGATGTGCTCTCTCAGCTGTGTTTCCTCCCTCTTGAGTTCCTCTTCTCTGAGCTCAATGTGAGCCAGAAGCTCCTGGATCCGGTCTGCCAAGGCCCGGTTCTCATGATTCAGGGCCTGGACGAGATCATCCTTGTCCAGGGCAAGAATGTTGTTATCTTCAGCTCCATCACTGGTGGGTAATGTGTGAATCTGAGTATACAAATACACAGAATTCGATCAGTGATGTACTGGAAAGGTTTGTTATTGAAACGTGGTTGTAATTTAAGCTGTGTCAAACTGAACGGAATACTGTAACCCCTGTGACATACCCTTTCTCTTGAAGAGTCCTGCTCTGCCTCTGCTTCTTGTTCCTCTGCCTCTTTCCTGAGTTGTAATTTCAGTCGAGTATTCTCTTGAGCCATCACCTGCAGCTGTTCCTGTGTGTGCTGCAGGGCAACCTCTAGGCGGTCACGTTGTTCTTGAAGTGCTTCAAGATCCTCCCCCAGCCCCAGGCTCCTGTAGGCTTCCCTCAGGGCTTCAGATTCCTCACTGTGGCTTTCCTCCAGATTTAGGATCCCTCTAGAGCCCCAAGTCTCCAGTTTAAGTTCATCTAGTGTCTCTGCAGTCACGGAAAGGGACCGTAGGCTGTGGTTGTTTCGTGTGCTCTCTGCTGAAGCCCAGTGGTGAACAGGTGGAACTGCAGATGAATGAGGCTGGCCTATTCCCTCAACCGAGGTTAGATGGACCTACATAGAGATCACAGTCGTGTGACAAAAGTTCGACAGACAGAAAATGACTGGCAGAATATAGAGATCCTAATAATGCAACATAATCCAAATTCATGTCTCAGTTGATACACAATGTATAAGCATTTACAATAGGGGAGGTGGTTATGCAACACTAAATCCTGGCAACAGAGCTTTCACTCACTAATACCTTCTCATGAAATAACAAGAAGGAATCTACAACACTAAGCCAATAATAACACCGGATTGAATATTAATTGACCCTTAAGTTATTATTGCCAACCATATTTGGCCAGTCTACAATGAAAAACTAGTGAGAATAAGTCACAGAAAACAACTTTCAAAATAATAATGTGTTAACATTGATTAGTTGAACAGGTGATCTTAAATTGTTGTTAAAACAGGAATTTGTCACTTTAGGGAACTAAAAACCCTCAACAAATGCTCCTTATCGCAAGTGTTTTATTCTCAAGAACCGATAATTCCATCCTACGCATAATAGTACTGAAACTCAAGTTGTTTGAGTTAAATTTGGTCAAATACTGTAGCATTCTTACTTTTAGACTACATGTGGACTGACTGGCACAGAATCTAATGATAGAAGGTGTTTCTTATATTGTAATAGAGCTTTTGTTTTTCTCTTGAGGACATGAAAACCATTGTGCAAACTTCTGTTCATGTCTGTTGTTGACTTGTACAGTAGAGGAGATATCCTCTACTCTCATGCTGCTCATTCCACCTTATAACAGCTTGATGTAGTTTACCTCTGTGCCCCACATTTCATTACAGGAGATAAATATCGTACTCATCACTGTGTGATGTATGAAAAAGTAGGCTGGCCCTCACTAGCAACAAGAAGAGAGATACATACTATCATCTTTGTTTAGAAGTGTCTCCTACTAAAGCTGCCTCAGTGTGTCACATCTCAGATTTAGGATCGTCAGATGAGATCTCTCTTGCTAACTCTTGAAATAAACACTGAGAAGAAGGTTATAATAATGATCATATCTTACACACCTCTACCATGGCCGTGGTATGTGAGAGAGTGTTGGAGGACACAGAACTAACAGCAGGACTGCAGTTGGGCGAGCTGGTCCCAAAACCCGCGCATGGGATTGTGGATGACTGACTTGATGTTTGGTTAGCTGCATCCGTAAGGATCTGTTGGAGCCTGTTGTTCTCCTCTCTCAGTTCATCAACCTCCTCCATCAAGGAGTTTTCAGAGAGCTTCAGTTGGTGCACCTCTGCCTTCATCTCCTCCACCTTGCAGCCCAGGAAGTGGCTGTTCTCCTGAGCCTCCTGGAGCTGCTCCATCAGTCCCCTCCGCTCGGTCATGCCACCCTCCTCTCTCTCCAGCAGCACCCTGAGATCCTCCTGCAGGCTCAGGATGAAGCCTTGCAGCCTGGCTTCATATGAGTTCTCTTTTGCTGTCTTTCCCTCATCACTCTCTCGTCCTCCTCCTCTCTCAATTCCCACACTTGGCTGCCATTGCTTCCTCCTCTCCTCCTTTCTCTCCTCTTCTCCTTCACCCTCTCCTCTCATGGTAGGTAGCCTCTCTTGTTCTTCCCAGTGTGTGACAGTCCCGGCAGTAATTCTGACTGCACTGATCGTTGTCATGCCCGTGGCGGCACTCACGGTCATGTCCAGTAGCTGCTTTTCTAAAGCGTAGATCCGGTTCTGTAGGCTCTGCTCTCTGTCCCGGGCCAGGCTGAGCTTGTGCTGGAGCTGGGTTTTAAAGTTCTCGAAGTACTGGGACTGACGACTCATCTCCTCCTCTTTGGCCTTCAGCTGCCTCTGACAGCGCTGTAGTCGATCCCTCCAAACCTGCTCTCCTCGCTCCTTCTCCTGGGTCTGAGCAGTAGGGAAGTGGGAGAAAGCGGAAGACAGAGAGAGAATATTATAGAGAGAGATACTACAATGGAGTCTGGAAAAACAACTTCTGAGTTAGCCTAGGCTAAGGGGTCTCCTGTACTATACATATACATTATATATAATGTCTACATGAATACATACTAGTTTGCGTTTTAGTGTTGGCATTGTCGTAGTAGTAGTCTTTACTGTAGATGTTATTTGTTATGATCTCTCTTTTGCTTTCATGAGAAAACACAATCAGCCTGACCTTATAACCCAACCTTCGTAGCATTGTTAATAACTTGTTACTTCAGAATTATGGTCCATTATTTTGTTTATTCGTTGTATAACAGACATTTTAGTCCAGACCCATGATAAGTAAAACCTGTGTACTCACCATGGTCCTGACCTCCTCCCTGAGCATGTTGAGTCTCTGGTCCAGCCTCTGGGAGTGTTGCATGCTGGGGAGGTGGGAGGCAGAGGCTAGCTGATCGAGCTGTAGCAGCAGCCTCCTCTCTGACCTCTCTAACCCTCTGATCCTAACAACACGACACAGACAAGCTCACATACATCATCTTATTAACTTCACACAAATTTACACATTAACATAAAGCTAGAAGTACTTAATAATTTCCTCTGTTAATTTGATTTGATATAAAAATCTACAAATTTGATTCAGTTTCAACATCCTAATGCGAGAAAAGATGAAAACATGCAAATAAATAGTTTACCACAGCGAGTAATTCCAGGGGAGATGTCAGCAGCAGCGTGCTTCCATGCAAGTGTACAGGGCAGCCAGGTGCATGTGATATGTGATATCACCTTGGCCAAAAGTGAGTATATAGTAGCGTGTGGTGTGTGTGTGTGTGTGTGTGTGTGTGTGTGTGTGTGTGTGTGTGTGTGTGTGTGTGTGTGGGTTGTCACTGGATCCCCTCTCCCCAGTCTCTCACCTGTTCCTCAGGTAGCTGTCAGACTGGACGGCTGAAACCTCATTCTGCTCCAGGACCTTCACTCTGTTACACAGAACCTGCAGGTCCAGGTCCAGAGTTCCCATTGAGTCCATTACCGTGGTAACAGAACGGCTACCGGTACCCGTCTGTTGAGGTCATGTGATCCTTCATTGGTTAGCCTGTGCCCACTAGGTGAGTTCTACCTGGCACGGGAACTGACGTTGTCCGACTTACTCAGTTTGGGGAAAATAAAGGGGAAACTGTTCTTACCGACATCATAAACACACAGACATGGCAAAGATAAACACAGACACAGAAAAAGTTACATGCGCACAAGATACAGTCATCTATTATTCACCATGTCAACAGCTTGGTAGCAAGTTGTTGGGCACAGATGTCTCTCAGGTTACCCCGCCTCTTAATCATCCTGTCCGCTCTCCGGCACCTCCCACCACATTTCACAAATCATTAAATCCCGAAAACTTAAAAGGAGAGGTTCACTTTTTTCTCCAAGTCCGTCTCAAAGCAATTCTCATGTGCATGCATATGTACTAAAACCTTTTTCGGTTGATGTAATACATTTCTCCTGTTCACACAGGTTGTTTTAAGACAGACATGAAACAATTGACCCTTTCCTTTGAGGTCAGCCTAATAAGTAAGCTAGCAAGCATGTTTGGTTGATGCATAACTAAATATAGGCAAGAATACATCACTTAATTAAGAAAATCATTCATTTGCGGATCTTGAGAAGTATTATTTCTTAACACTCACGTGAACTTAAATTAGCTATTGTATTAATAAATGTACAAAAGAGTAAATTCTCAAAAGGTAAACTTAAATAATAACCTGTTTTTTGCACTCCATTGACTGTAGTTTCATCTTCTCAATACATCGACGAGCTTCCAGTAAGTTCAGCTTCTGTTCTGTGAACTTAGTTGCCCTGTTTCCTTGGAAACGCCACAGACGTTAGACTTTGCCAGAATCCTCCATATCCAGTTGGCACTCAGCTTGTTCACCCCCTCACTCAGCACTGTACTTTCACTCCTCTTCTCCTCTCTCTGGCTCTCCTTTCCCATTGTCCGACTGGGCATTCCTTCAGCTGAGGCTCTTCTCCCTTTAATAAATCCTCTGATTCAGAGTTTTCTCTCAGTAAATCCACGTGTTTGCTTCTCACAGAGGAGTTAAAGTTTCATGTTCCAGGTCCAAGAACCAATATAGTAAATGTTATTTATAAATAAATCTCACTTTAATCTCATGTATATCTGATTATTTATTACATTTTTGAATATGTTTGCATTCCAGGTAAGGGTCTTCTGCAAAAGTGCACATTTATCAAAAAGGCCATATGGTTTTTGTGAGCTGTCTATAAATGCATAAAAAAACAATTAGGTTTGTTTGTCCTCACTTGCCTCCACAGCACCTTAAAACCTGAGAAAAAGGAAACATTTTTAAATTCTTTCCTTGTTTGTTGTTACTGTAAGTGTGTTAAGTACTAAAATGATACAGTGGATAAATGTGCTACCTGATGTGGGTCCACGGTCACTTTCATTAAGGCCAAAGAATAAATGCTAAAGAGAAAAACAAAAAGAGGAACAAAAACTAAAGGAACAAAAGGGGTTTAATAAACAGGTGAGAAAAGGGAGAGAAGAAAAAGAGCGTCAAGAAATTAATAAAATAACACAGAGCATTAGTATAGTAGATGTAACCTCCCCCCACATTATCTCTTGTTAATCTTTGCAGTATGCACATCCTCTTCCAGCCATAACAGAAAGCTTTATTAGAAAGAAACAAATAAAGACTTGAATGTACCTTTTCCTCTATTTCCTTTATTTGTCTCTTTTGCAAGTCAATCCTGTCCTCCAGCTCTCTAATTCTCTGCAAGGCAAAGACAGATTTGGTTAGCTGGTAAAATATGTTCAAATATAAAACTAAGACCATTTGGCCAGATCTTATGCAATCATCTACATTTTAAAACAGTTGTTAAACAGTTACTAAGACTGTCACTCAACTATTCCTATATACTCCAAATACCCTGCCTGTTTCCCATCATGCCCTCTGTCTCCATGGTAGCTGTGTTGGGTAAGGATAAGCTGCCATGGCAACTAAAGAGCTGATTTAACAGTGAACAGTGGAAGTTATAACGTCCATATTTTAGACTTTAAACCTGAGCAATTTATACATTGACTCTGGATAAATGTATTAGTGTTCTTGTTTGCAAAGAAAAAAAAGCTAGCTGCAGTATCTTAAAGTGTATTCAGAGTTTTAAAAAGAATGATTCAAATTTATTGGCAAATACACTTGGACAGACATGGAATTCTAAAGTTAAAGACGGGTTTTATTTATTATATAATCTGTTTCAAATTATTTTCAGTGGAGCTAATTTTGAATCCTTCAAACAAACACAGCTTAATCATTTATTAAGGTAAAAATTACCACTGAGTCCTAGTTACTAGGCCATTGAGTCAGCCATGGGACTGAGAAAGTGTGTAAAAAGCCCAACTATAGGGAAAAAAATGTATGGGACTTTTAAGTGAGACTACTAAAACTAAACTGCATAAATCATAAATCATCATAAATTTAATTAGTTAGTATATTTCATGAGTAGTTGATTAAAAATGTGTTTTAAGTGTTATATTGTTAGAAATTAGGAAAACAATGTTAGTAAGTTAGAGTACAAATGAAGTTGAAGGTGTCGTGGTTGTTGATGTACTCAATGAATAACATATACTGTACAAGCCATGGGTGTAAATCTACTGTGAGGGCTGCGGAGTGGAGGGATACTGAAGGAGTGGGGGGTATTCAGATCACAATGACATACACACTCTCACACACACAGCCAAGTCATTATGTCTCATCTGTTACTCTTCCACTTCTACATATGCATTTACAGTACAGGTTGCACACACAGGGATACTGCATCTTTTTCTTAGCACCAGAGGTCTGGTGGGGTCAGACGTATCAGACAGGGACCAGGGCTCAGGTTGAGGGAGGGCAGGATTCAGTAACCTGACTCGATTTGTTTTAAGCCTTACCTGCTGGGCCTGCTGTAGAAGCTCCATTCGCTCATGTAAGATCTGACTGTCAAACTGCCGGCTCTGCCGGAGAATCTGACGCCGCAGCTTGTCCACGGCTAGCCTCAGCTCCTCCCTCTGCCTGTCTGTCAGCGACTCGGCCACCGCCTGGCATGACGGCTGCTCCTGCTGCAGAGCGCTATACAGCGTGGCCTCCAGCTCCTCGATCCTCTGCACAGCCAGCCACATACACACACATACAGGTACACAAACACACACACACAGACGTGCACATGCACATGCAGAAACACACACAGGCATGCACAAACACACACATGGAGGCACGCACAAAAAACGGATACACATATGCACGCAAACACACACACACACACACACACACACACACACACACACACACACACACACACACACACACACACACACACACACACACACACACACACACACACACACACACACACACACACACACACACACACATACACACACTACTGTGACCATGGCAGATATGGGGAACACTGTTCCACTATATATATTGGGGGTTATTGAGGCTTGACCTTTACATGGTAACGTCATTATATTAACAACACAAACCATGTTTTTATTCTCAGTCTACTACAGATTAATTCCACAGTTGCCTGACTGTTCTGGCAAGGTTACCATGTAAAAACCAAGCTGTCACCAACACAATATAAAGTGGGACCATAAACACAAACCAACACCAAAACTGACCAAATCAAATGGTTAGGATTATATGGAAAGTGACTTAAGTGTTAACTATAGCCTATTTAAGTCAGTGGGAAGGGGTTAAGATCATTCATGCTAACAAAATCTGACATTAAAATCTTATTAATTCTTCTCAACTTCACTAGTTCTGTCCACTTGAACCAAGTTACACAGGCTATTCATAAAAGGCATTATATCTTCATATTTTCTACAATTTAAGAGGGAGTGAATCAGCGATTGGCATCCTCAGAAGATAAAGAACATTAGGCCAATAAACAAGAAGCCAAATACCCCCAGCCAATTCAGTGGCTCAGATTGTTCACAGAATTTAGACTTCAGTGGTAAAAGATGCAGTATCCCAACACAATGTGACAAATTCTACCTTCATGGAGCATGTTCATGATGTTTAATGGGGTTCAAAATGTTTATGTGTCATGCTGGAATGATGAGGTTGCACCCTTGCATTCCTGAATTACTTTATCATGAACCATTATGCCTTATACACAACCTTGGTTAATGGTGTAATTAATATAAATGAGTGTGTTTTGTCTATTCGAGAGGCTTTGGACAACTTTTGTATAAAGAGACAGGTCATACTGCTCCAGGCTCCGTACCATGTAGGCCTGGTCCAAGGCCTGCTTCCTGTAGTCCAACTCTTCCTCGAGGAATCCCTTCTGTTTACTGAACAGCTCCTGCAACAAGATGTAATGATATATAACACAAGACACAACTGAATGGTAGAGTACAGAATATTCTGTAGAGTCAGGAAAACCATGAGTGGTACATTTGACATCTGGGTGGACTTTTTGTGATTAGAATAGCAGAAAAATAAACAGATAAATAGCTTGTTTTGTGCATATAACAGTGAAAAGTCAAGTGTATTTGGATCTGATCTGTCAAAACATTTGAACATTTTGTTTTCTAATGATAAATTGATTTTTCACCTTGTCATTTTCCAGGTCGATCATCTTCTGTGTGAGGGCAACCTCTGTGCTATCGATCTGTTTCAACCACTGTACAGGGAGGATTAGGACAAAAGGCAAGGACCAGTGAGGGAGGTGGAAGAATGCTTTCTCAGAGGCTAAAATAACTTAATGTTTGGAATAAATTAAGTGTTATGGCAACAAGTGTCCACTGTGTGTCAGTAAAAACACAACATGTCAGAGAGGCCTTTCACTTACCTTTTCACACAGTGAGATCACCGTCCCTGCTTGGATCACCGCTACCTGCTCCTCATTTCTGAGATTCTACAGAAAAAACAACAGAGTTATCAGAAATTACAAGAATAAACAATCTTATTTTATCATAACAGTGTGTTTTAACTCACCCCATTATCACCCAGAATATCCAGTTTCTTCATCAGCTCAGGAATAATTACATCCTGCACAGACATGAAAACCATCAGACATTACATTGACTGCATGCAGGAAAATAGTCTGGTTATGGATATGTATATTAAGGATATGTGTGTTATCACCTTGACTCCCTCCTGGTGGCAGTAGATCTGCAGGGCACTGCTGCTGTTCTCAGGGAACGCAGACATGTGCAGATTGAGGGCAGGCGATTTGCGCTCCCTTTCCTACAGAAAGCACACACCAAGTTAACACTCACACACCAAAACACATCACATTTCTACAAGTCATGTAAGAGTTTATCATAACATTGGTAGTGGTGCACAGTGAAACACAGAATGTGAATGTAAATGAAAGTGAAAAGGGAGTGAATGAGGGATTTACTTACATGAAAACATGATCAGGATCTGCCAAAATGAGGGAGGTGGGAACCCATAGATTTAAATGGGAAACCAAAATAAACCAATAGGGAATTTGAAAACACATGCTGAAACTCAAAACTGAGAATGTGATCTGAAACAGATGCTACTCCATCAACATGGGTGAATTAAATATTTCAAATGTTTTATGCCTTTAAACCTCTAGGTCAATAACCATACTTATTTTGGTATATATATATTCTCTCTTTTATATTAAAGAAAAAATACTTAAAATAAACAATAAAAATCCCCAAAATACATTATACTGCTAATCTTTCCATAATTATCCATGGACATCTAATGGCAAATA